TCTGGGAGGGTCTTGGTGGGGGAAATGCCTTTTCTCCTTTCCTAATTGATAGGAAATTAGGAAACTTACTTGATTTAAGTAAAGCTCTGTGTGTTTAGCATCTGCAGATCACAGTCCTTGCCATGGGCACGAAAAAGCCTGAGCCAATCATTCCAGGAGACCCAGAGGATCGAGCGGTTTTTCCTTCCAGGCCCTCGCCACCCGGGGGAGGGACCGAGAGCCGAGAGTCCAGTGAGCGCCAGGAGTGCTCTCGGCGCCCATGCTCACGCGGGCGTGTCTGTCTGTCAGGAAAGCGGCCTGGGCGGGTCGTCTCCCCTTCAGCTGGTCTCCGTGGTGCTTCCGAGAGTTCAGGTTGTTTATGTTTATGGTGTATGACCCACTGCTCCGTGTACACACGCACGGCGGAGCCATCGCCACAGTCAAGCAGGTGAGCACACCCGTCTCCTCGCACGTCTCCACGGATCGCATGTGGCAAGGACACGCGAGACCTGCTGTCTCCGCACACCTCCCGCGGGTGACAGGTCGCGGCCCACGGTCACCGTCCCGCACGTGAGGCCTTCAGAAGGCACCGTCCTGTGCATTCTGTTCCTGTGCGTCAGACCCTTTTGGATTCCACAAAACGTGGGACCACGTGGTCTGTCTCTCGTGCTGTCTCACTGCATTTGGTGTCACGTCCTCCGGGGTCACCCACGTCGTCAAAAGTGGCAGGTGTCCTTCTTTAGGACCAAATCACACTCCATTCTGCACATGCCACGCTGCTCCCGTGGTCGCTGATGGCCACGGAGGTCGGTCCGTGGCTGGCTGTCGTGGGTAGCGCCGTAGTGGCCGTGGCAGCGCCGGTGTCTTTCAGCATGCTGTGAACAGAAGTCCTCCGAGCGGGAACTTGGAGGAGAGAGACTCATCCCAGCAGACGGTTCGCAAACCGGGGAGACCCGGCCTCGGCGTGAGGCCAGGACGTGGCCCAGAGAGCAAAGGGAGGCCCGTCTGTCTCCACGGTGATCCCCGCTGTCCCCCCGAGGGCTGCTCAGCTCCGACGGGTGGAGGCAGATGCCGTCTCTCTGTCTGTCCGGGTGGCGAGGACAGGGACAGGCGCCGTGGACGCCCCAGCTGGGCAGGTTTCCAGGAAGAGGCCGGCGAGGTCTCTGATCGGCAGTGGCAGCAGGCGCCGGCGCGGATCAGGCCCCGCGAGGCCCTTGGACCGCCGAGGGACCGGCTCCCGCAGGCCCGCAACGCCGGCTGCAGTTTCTGCGGGGGGAGGGCGGGCCCAGAAGTGGGGTTCCCGCCTCCCACGGCACTTTCAGTTTTAATTTGTCGGGGACTCTCGGCGCTGTTTTCCAGGACGGCTGGGCTAATTCACGTTTCCACGGACGGACGGCGCCTGGGCTCCCCCTTCCCCCCACGCCCTCCCCAGCACGCCCCCTTCCCCCCACGCCCTCCCTCTGTCTTGGAGGACACGCGACAGGCCCGAAGCGTGTCTCCCTGCGTGTCGGCGACGTGAGCTCCTTCCCGCACGCGTGTGGTCTGTGTGTCTTCTTGGAGAAATGTGCGTTAAGGGCTTCTGCCCGTGTTTAAGCCGGACTATTTGACTTCTGTCTGCTCGTTAGATACTTAGCACTTGGATCGACCTCTGGCGAGGAGCCCCCGAGTGTCCGTGCATCTGCTGAGCTGACCGCGGCAGGAGTCTCGGGGCTGACGCCCTCAACACCCGTGGCTGGTGTGGCTGGCATGGTTGACGTGGCTGGTGTGGCCGACGTGGCTGGCGTGGCTGATGTGGCGGGTGGCCGCGGGACTGAGTGAGTTTCTAGGCCGATGCAGCAGAGTATCTCAGACCAGCTGCTAAGACAGCAGCGGCGTATCCTCTCCCGACTCTGGAAGGCAGAAGCCGGAAATCAAGGTGTGGCCAGGGCCACGCTCCCCCCAGGCCTCCCGGGAGGGCCCTTCCGGCCTCCCCAGCCCCGGTGGCCCCAGGCGTTCTCTGGCCGTAGCTGCCGTCTCCCCGCGGCCTCCTCCTCGCGGTCTGCGCCTCTGCGTGGTAACCTCGTCCTGCAGACGCACAGTAGGGCTAGACTGGAGCCCACGCCCACCCAGCGCAGCCTCACCTCTACCTGGTTGCGTCTGTTTGCAAACACACGTGGATTTCCGGGACAGGCGGGACTTCGGCGCACCCCTGGGGAGGATCGGCTCAGCCTCGACAGAGAGAGGCGCGGATTCCAGATGCGCCGCCAGCGAACTCGCTCGCCGGATCCCGCACAGCAGCCACAGCGCGGGCCAGCGCCCGGGTCGCTGAGTGCTCGTTTCTGCAGCCGCTTGCCCCGGAATAACCGCACAGAGGGCCCAGTCCAGGTGGCGTCCCCGTGGGTGCCACCACGAGCTCCGTGGGGGTCAGGACGGGCTGGCCCCACAGGGACCAGCAGCAGGCGCTTGCCGTAGTTCTGAAGCAGCCGAGAGCCGCCGGGCAGGCCGCCTGCCTCCTCCGGCGGGGAAGGGGCCAGTGGGACCCGGGAGCCGCTGCCCTCTCCCGGCCCAGGCACTCGGGGTCGAGACGTTTGCAAACCTCCCGACGGGCTTCCTCGGTGAGGGGTCGGTGCATTTAGGGAGAAGCTCCCAGAACAGAGCGTCTCAAAGTCTCCCCTGAAGCCTGGCTCCCAGACTCCACACCCGCTCCCGCGCGGAAGGCTCCAATCCCTGTTGGCTTTGCTCTGATGCAGCTTCCGTGGCGTCTGCTTCCTGCCTGGGAAAAGTGATCCCATAGGCCGGGCGCGGTGGCTCACGCCTGTCATCCCAGCACTCTGGGAGGCCAAGGCGGGCGGATTGCTCGAGGTCAGGAGTTCGAAATCAGCCTGAGCAAGAGCAAGACCCCTGTCTCTACTATAAAGATAGAAAAAAATTAATTGACCAACTAATATATATATAGAAAAAACTAGCCAGGCATGGTGGCACATGCCTGTAGTCCCAGCTACTCAGGAGGCTGAGGCAGGAGGATTGCTTGAGCCCAGGAGTCTGAGGTTGCTGTGAGCTAGGCTGATGCCACAGCACTCACTCTAGCCTGGGCAACAGAGTGAGACTTGAGAAAAAAAAGGAAAAGAAAAGAAAAGCTTTCCCTGCGTGTTCTGGGTGAAGCCGCCGGTGCCACGGCCGAGGGCGGGAACAGGACAGCGAGTGCCGGGTTCCCTCCCGGGCGGGCGGCTGCGTGCGGGGTCGGGGGGACGCGCTGTGATGCTCTGGGATCCGTGCACGGCTCGCAATGTTGGCGCCCGATTGGGCTGCCTGTTTGCCTGATTTAGTGGATTCCACTTTCTGCTTTTGCACGCCGAGACCTAGAAGGAAATACTCCTCCCCTGGGGGCCTTTGGGATTGTTTGTTTAAATTAAGTTCCGTCTGGATTTAATCTTGGCCGAGCCTTCAGAGAGCACGGGGCCCGTGACAGGCGCGGTGACGGGGGCCAATGAGAGCGTCCGCCCCACAGCAAGACCCTCCCGTAATGTCACACTTGGGCGGCACGGGCGGAGTGCCGGGCGATTAGTTTATGGCCGAGATCATTGTGTTTTTATTGCACTCATAAAGTCTGCGTTTCCCCTCATTTTCATAATGGCCCCGATGAGCCGCTCGGCCTCCCAAAGGCGCGTTAAGCCGCCAAGCGCGGGGAGCGCAGACTGGCGGGGCAGGTCCCGGCGCCCCGAGAAGCTCGAAGCGAGAAGCACGTTCCGAATTCTCGTCCTGCAGGGTTGGCACCGAGGAAGAAGAGAGTGTGCGCGTCCCGGCACTCTTACTTGTGGGTTTTTTGTAAATGCCTCAGTGGTTCCCACTAAATCCCGACATAAATGACGGGCAGCGAGGTGGGTTAGGGGCGTGGACCACGTGGGAACATCCGTCAGTGTTAAAGGAGGAGAACATCGTGCGCGTGTCTGACTTTAAAAACGTAATTTAAAGGAGGGTTTAATAACGTGAACCACGATGAGAAAGCATTTTGTGTTTGGGACCTGTGTACTTTTTAAATAACGAGATCTTACTTGGATTTTTATGTCTGTATTTAAAAGAAATGGAAGCTCTCTTGGGTGCCAAATTCACATGCAAAGGCGGCCGCTTGCAAATATTCCTGTGAAGTTAATGTGACCCATCGCAGGGAGCTCAGAGCCCTCCTCACTCTGTAATTTAATATGCTAATAAAAGCCCGCAAATGCTACATCAGTGCGCTCCCCCCGGAATGATACGGCCCTGAGCAATCACGGCCGTGACTGTGAACACGTGGTTTCACGGCCCCAAAGCTGCGAGTTGCGTGGGGAAAGCAGCACGGCTCCAGGACTTCGCGTCTGTCTCTGTCGTGGCTGCGTGTTTGGGCGTGCGTTCACGTGTCGACTGCTGTTGGGACCTGTTCTCAACGTGGCTGTCGCGAGTCAGTGCCTCAGTTTGGGATCTGCTGCGATTCGAATAGGACTGCAGTGCTTTGGCGGAAGCAAGCGGAATTGCAGCAGCAACCTGCTGCTTTCCGCGATGCGCTTCTGAAAAGAAACCTTCTAGCGCCTTCCCCGTGTGACAGGGCGGCAGCTCAGCAAAGCAGCGTGCTTCTCTGGTTGCGCAAAATAACGGCGGCCCCCAGAAGTCGGGGCTGTCCGCCGGTCGCCCTTCCCGCCACTCGGGGCGGGCGGTTTTCGTGCAGCGTGAGCCTGCCTGCCGTCCGCTCTGCGCTGCCTTACGGAAAGTTTCGTTTTTATAGATCAGAAGTTGAGTCAAACAGTCGGACGGGACCTGAGGAGGTTTTCAGTGCTGTGGAATGCATTCACTTTAATATTATTATTTTTTTAATATTTCACGGCCCATGCAAACTTGGGCCGGGTTCTCCAGAGCGGTGCCGGCGGCCGCAGAGAAAGCGTGTCCCGTGAAGGTGAACCGAGCGTCCTGCGCACGGAGCAGATCGGGGCCGCGCCCCTGGGCGCAGCCGTCACGCGTGCCCCGGGCGGTGCGGACAGTCACGCCGCAGCCGCGCCCCTCTCTGTCCGCAGATGGTGTGGGAGAGCGGCTGCGCGGTGGTCGCCATGCTGGCCCCGCTGACGGAGAACGGCGTCAGGCAGTGCCACCGCTACTGGCCGGACGAGGGCACCAGCCTCTACCACGTCTACGAGGTACTCAGAAGGCGCCTGCGCCCGCGCCCCGCCCCCTCTGAGCGCAACTCGCGCTGACGGCGGCCGCCTGGCCGGTCCCCCCTGCGCGGCCGGAGCTCGCCCTGCCCCGCCCTGCCCTGCGTGGGGACGGTCGCCCCCCCCCGCCCTCGGAGGCGGCAGGGCCGGCAGAGGCCAGGCACCCCGACAGCTGCGTGGCTGTGGGCTGTGCCCCGGGGTGGAGGGCGTGGTTTTCGTTTTTCTAAATTACATGGATCCAAATGCTGACGGAAGAAAATAAGATCCCCCGACGGCCTGGCCCTGGTGCCGTGCAGCCTAGACAGGCCCTGAAGCGGGTCATTGTCACAGAGAGCCCGGCCACCCCCTCCGCTAACGGCTTATTGGTGCTGCTGCCTGAGCCGCATGGCCTGTCCCCGGTGCTCCTCGAGTTCTGTGTCTGCACCATCTGACGTTTTATTTTTGGTTTTGGGGGTTTTTTTTTTTTGAGGAGAGTCTCACTCTGTTGCCCGGGCTTGAGTGCCGTGGTGTCAGCCTAGCTCACAGCAACCTCAAACTCCCGGCTTGGGTGATCCTCCTGCCTCAGCCTCCGGGTAGCTGGGACTACAGGCCTGCCCCATGCCCGGCTAATTTCTTCCACATATATTTGTAGCTGGCCAATTAATTTCTTTCTATTTTTAGTAGAGACGGGGGTCTCGCTCTTGCTCAGGCTGGGTCTATGATCCTGACCTCGAGCGATCTGCCCGCCTCGCCTCCCAGAAGCTTAGACGACAGGCTGTGAGCCACCACGTGCCGCGCCAATCTGAACTTTTTATTCATGGACAACCTGCCCACAAGTTCATTTCTCCTGCTAGGGTTTTCCGCCCCACACCAAGAATGAACTGGATAACTCGGGCTTGAAGCGAGTCCGAGAGCGCACCTCTGGGTCTCTTTGCGTCGGAACTAGTCGAGCGCCAGAGTCCCAGAGCGAGACCCGTCTCTACTAAAAATAGAAAAATTAGGCTATGCGTGGTGGTGTGCACCTGTAGACCCAGCTACTAGGGGAGGCTAGAGGCAGGAGGATCAGTTGCACCCAGGAGTTTTGGTGTTGCTGGTAAGCTAGGCTGACGCACGGCACTCTAGCCCAGGTGACAGAGTGAGACTTGTCTCTAAATAAATGATAGTTTGATAATGCTGCCTGTCGAGCCCCCCCCCGAGTGCCCCAAATTGAACAGGCACATGCACACTCACGCATGTACACATGCACACACAGAGCCATCTTTTGCATGATGCCATGTTCAATAGAGCAGGCGGCGGGGCCACTGATTAAAACCAGCTTTCCTTGTAGCACTTGCCCCACGCCCGGCTCGTGTCCGGCGGGGATGCGTGATGCCGCCCTTCGTGTCTCCCTCCCTGCTCTCCCCTCCGTCCAGGTGAATCTGGTCTCTGAGCACATCTGGTGCGAGGACTTCCTGGTGAGGAGCTTCTAACCTGAAAGACCTGCAAGCCACGAGACCGACGAGGCTACCCAGATATCCACTAAATCCATGAGCTGAGTAAAAGACCGGAAGAGAGAAATCCTTCCTCACGCGAGGTCTGCTGTGGACTTCCGCAGGTATGACCGCGAGAGCCGCCGGCGGACCCGCTGCAATGAGAGGGGGCCGTCGGGGGGAGGGGGCGGGTGTGACAATAGAAATAAAAAAAGAATAAATATCACAAAATCAGATATATCTGAGATGCCGCCGGCTACCAGATGCAGCGTTTGTGATGAGGGGAAGGGGAGAGGGCGGCGTTGACTGTGCGTATTTATTGTGAGATATTTTCCAGTTCTGGAGGCGCTAAAATCTGGGGGGAGAGGCATCTTAGAATCGTGGAAATGCGGTCATTATTTTTGATAAGGTTCTTCCACGGACAGAGCCCTGCAGTTGGCGTGTCTCGGGGTGCTGGCGAGCAGAGCTCAGAGTCCCAGCCGGGGACACTCACCGCTCGCAATTCGTGACGAGCTGTGACAAGTGCAGGCCCAGGTTCTAGCGTGGACGGATGATCTTGGATGGAGCCTGGATATAGTTAGCACATGACTGCATATATGCATATACATATATACATATATATATACACACACACATATATATATATATGTTTTAGTGTTATTTTGAAATTAAGAGTTTAAAAAAAATTCCAGTGTCTGTTCATTGCTCTACTGAGCTAGTCACCCAGTGAGCTGTCTTCCTCCAAAGTCTATTCATTGCACGCTTGACTCGGATGCTAGACGCTTACAGGGAGAAACGGTGCAAAAAGGAAGCACAATTTGAGACAGAACCTGGACGGTGCATCCCGCCCACTTGTTGACAAGCAGCTGGTTCGCATCGGCCCTTATGTGGCAGCAAACAAGTAAACAGCTAAACAGAAGGTGAAACTGTCAGGCAGCATCCGTGGCCAAGCTCTGAATAGATAGGAAGCCTCTTCCGTTTAACTGATAGGAAATCTGCCTCCGGAGGAAAACAGATGCACATTCGAACAAGGAGCTAGAAAATAAAAACAAAGTTGTAGTCGAGCGTCACACGCTGTCGTGGGACATTCCTCCCTGGCAGTCACTGGCCCTGGGTCTGCAGCCCCAAGACACCAGGGAGGCTAGAAAGGCCAGCGCTGTCCTGAAGCTGGGGTTGCAGACTGATCTCTGGATTTCTCCAATTCGTATGTCACAGAGTCTCAAGCTTATTATGATACTGTTGCTTTTGCCTTTTAGTCTTCTTTGAAAAACAATTTTTTTTTTTATTTTAATCGTTCTTTGGATCAGGGAGCGTGCGGACGCCCTTCCCCGGGGAAAGACGTACATGACTGGTGCCACGAAACCACGCACATTCAGTGACCCCTGTGCCCTCTGTCACCTCCCCTAGGGACAGAGAGGGCGGACCAGGCTCCTGGACACACCCCAGAGCAGCCACTGCACACACACGTTCCTTCCTAGTCCTCCACGACGTCCCGGCCGTTAGATGCATTGTCTCTCGATTCAGATTCATTTCCGAAGACGTTCTATCAGGAAGCCTCACACACTTTCCTGAAATAGGGTCTTCGGAAAACAGGCGTTACCGGCAAAACGGAGGTAGCTGCAAAGACAGTGATGCGTGCCAACGCCCGCCTCTGTGCAGTGCACTCCGTGTGCCTGTGCATACGTGCGTGTGGGCAGGCTTCTGTGTCCACGCCCATATATGGGACCGGACATCCACATGACCGACCCTCCGTGTGTACAGTTCGCCATGAAGGGAAACCGGGTTCCCCAAGTCCCCGTGCTCGGGGGGCCGAGGAGCTGTGGCCTTGGCAGCCTTTTGTTGGATCGAAAAGGAAGTGGACCCCCCCCAGACGCAGTTCCGAAAGTCTGGCCGGGACAGAAGGTGTCCGTGGCTGCCCCACGTGGCACCACCCACGTCCGGGCCACCTTTCACGGCTTCCCTGGGTGGCCAGCCAGGACGATCACATTCTTGGGGGGGCCTCACGCTAGGCACACGCTGGCGGGGGTTTCTGGGTAAAGCGGCCGCCCACCCCGAATCCCAGCAGCTGGGAAGGTGACGTGGCTTATGAAAACACTGGCCATCTCTCGCCGCGGGTTCTCCTCTTTGAACGGTAGACGCGTCCGTGCGCGGGGCCCGGCGTGTTTTTTGGGCGCCACGATGTATGATTGAACGTGTCCGGGGCCCGGAGGGAGCACATGCGCACTCTAAAGAGAGTCCGCGAAGAGAGCGTTCGCGTCACGCGCGAGGGCTCTGGCTCGAACCTCTCTCTCCCCGCGTCTCTCCTCTGCGCCGTGCACCGGCCTGCACCGGCCACTCGCTCGCTCGCTCGCTGTAGAGCGGACAGACCCTTACTTTGCCAGCTCATTAGCGGTGGCCAGTGTCATTTTTGTGATGTTGCAGCTAGTAATATGAGCCCAGTTGCATAGTCACAAAAGTGATCATTGGAAACTGTGACCGTGCTGCAGGGACCCTGCGGGGAGCCCCTTTCTGAGCCTCTCGCGACCTCTGACCCTGCCTGCCGGCGGCTTCCAGGGCGGCCCCTCCCCGCCCAGCGGCCCAGGGGTCGGTACGTCTCACTAATCGTTCTTCCTCAGCGACGTCCTCCTGCCGGGGCGCACGTGGCCCCGTCCTCTCTTCCTGCGGGGACTTTGCTCGCTGGCGGCTGTCCCGACAGAGCGGAGGGGGACCGCGCCGTGCCTGTCCCTGCGAGCACCTGCTGCCTGGTCTCAGGTGCCCCGGACGGACGCCGGGCTCGCCGCGCCGTGGCCGTGTCTCCCTTTCGGAGATGCCACAGTGCGTGGTTCTCTGTGTCGCGGTTCTGAGCCGAGAGCCCGCGCGGGACCCACCCTGCGCCTCTGCTCCATGTCCGTGGTCACTGTCCTGAACAGGGCCAGCGCGGGCCGGCGTGGGCGTGAAAGTCGCAGCTAAGCCCTCCCCGGGCTGCCACGGCCTGCGGCCACAAAACACTGGGAGAAATGACACCGTAAATGCACCATAAAGCAAAGGCAGGAGTCAGCGGGGGCGGGGCAGCACGCTGTGGCCGTGGAATCTGCTCTTTAGCCACGCTTCTTAGCCAGAGAGGCTGCCCGCGTTTTGCCAGAGGGAGCTGGCCAGCTGTGGAGCCAACGTCTTCCGGTCATGTTTTCCTAAACCAGAGCAGGTTTTAAAAGGGTGTCTGTTGGTTATTTTTAACGTACCTTTTTTTTGTGCTTGGTCCCACTGTGAAAAAATGAGCAAGCGCTGGCGACCGACCAGCGCGAGGACGTGGGGAATTTGGGTGTTTCCAGAGCGCACGGCACATCTGAGATGGCGGGATGGGAGGTGCAGGGCCGGAGCCCTTCAGACTAGCGAGAGTCAGAGACGGGAAGGACCCCGTGAGGCCTTCTGCTCGGAGGGAAAAGGCCGTCAAAAGTAGAGCCAGCCAGGACGTGGTCTGACTGTCAGCGTGGTTGATTCTATGCACACACACACACATGTGCATACAGGTGCACACATTCACACACGTGCACACAGTCACACATGTCCACAAGGTACACACGTGCAAACAGGCACACACATCCACATAGGCACACACGTGCACACAGGCACACACACGTGCATACACATGCACACATGCAAACAGACAAACGTGCGCACAGGCGTGCACACAGGCACACACACGTGCACACTGGTACACGTGCACACGTGCGCATAGGCGCACACAGGCACACGTGCATGCAGGCGTGCACACAGGCACACACACGTGCGCACAGGCACACGTGTGCACAGGCACACACATGTGCACACAGGCACACACATGCACACAAGTGCACATGTCCACACAGGCGCACACACATGCGCACAGGCATGCACACGGGCACGCATGTGCACACAGGCATTACACACATACACACAGGTACACACAGGCACACATGTCCACACAGGCTCACACGTACACACAGGCACACATGTCCACACAGGCTCACACGTACACACAGGCACACATGTCCACACAGGCTCACACGTACACACAGGCACACACGTGTACACAGGCATGCACATGTGCTCACACGTACACACAGGCACACATGTCCACACAGGCTCACACGTACACACAGGCACACATGTCCACACAGGCTCACACGTACACACAGGCACACACGTGTACACAGGCATGCACATGTGCACACAGGTGCACACAGACGCACATGTCCACACAGGCTCACACGTACACACAGGCACACACACGTGTACACAGGCATGCACACAGGCGCACACACGTGTACACAGGCATGCACACAGGCGCACACATCCACACAGGCGCACACGTGCACACAGGCACACATGTGCACACAGGCACACACGCACACACAGTCTTTACTGGGGCACAGGCCCCAGCCCAAGGTGTGGCCCTGTCCCAGCACCAGCCTTCGCCCGGAGCTCCCGGAGCTCTCACGGCCTGCGTCAGGAAGGGGGAATTGGGAGTAGAAACGAGGGCTCCGTTTGCCAACCTGCCTTCTCCAAAGACCCGGAACTTGGAAGGCCGCCTGGCACGTGGGCGCCATGGCTCTAAGGAGCTTGCTTTGCGTTCCCCGCTCCCCCACAGGCTGGCGCCCGGCGCCCGCCCACGGCAGTGACAGGCCTCAGCAGGAACGAGTGTCCGCGAGGGCGCGGGCTGGTCTCGCCCTGCCCGCCTGCCCCTGCCAGGAGGCGTCTCTGGCTGCTCCACGGCGCTGCGGCCCCCACGGGGGCTGGAGGGGGGTGGCGGCCGCAGAGCAAGTGTAGCCCAGACGGGGCTCTGCCCGTGGCCTGGGGTGGCCGTGTCCGTCCAGGCCCTGCAGCCGCGCCCGAGCCCCGCCGCGCCGTCCGGGCTGGGGACTCAGACCCGCGGAGCGGCGCCTCCTTCTGCCAACTCCGCAGCAAGTGCGCAAGGAGGAGAAACCCCGGCGTTTGGGCTGCTGGTAGCAAAGAATCTCCAGCCCACGTCCCGGGGACGCCCCACGGCCACCCACGCGCCTCGGCCAGCGGGTCACAGTGAAGCCACCGCCAGCCCGCGGTTGGGCCTTGGCGGCGACGCATGACATCTCCCACTCCTGCTCCACGCTGTCATTCTTTCCGTTTTTAGCTCGTGTTGCTGCTGTAGGAACGTGTGCTGCACGTTCTGGGGCTCACCCCCACACACACGGTTCCCCTTCCCACTAGCCAAGATCCTGCCTTTAATTTACTGGGAAATATTTTGCTGAGAGCTTTGATGCACTTTGTAAACACGTCTGGTTGCTTCATTGGATTTTCATAAAGAAAAAAAGCTTGGAGCTCACACAGGGAATTTTAAATCGGCCCTCGGTTTTGATTTAGGGGTTGGTTATGAAATCTTAACTATACGCTCGTTGCTCACTCTCAGAACTTGCAGCCTACAGTCTGCACAATGGAGTTTGCCTTTAAACATGCTGAAATTCATAAAAGTGGAAAAGACTTGTCCTGGACTTATTTGAGGTTTCTCTCTAATTTAGATACCCCTGCCAAAAGCCGACAGATAAAAAAAAAAAAAAAAAAAAAAGGCTGATGAAGATGCTATTTCTAGACAGTACAGTAATATTATATTCCAATATGATGTCTGCGCTGTAAGAAATTTTGGGCATAAATTGCATAACTCAAAAGTGTTAGTGAAGAATCAAGACACGCACATCACAAGGAAAGGTCAGATCGGCTGTAGCAAAAGACGAGGAGGAGGAGAGGGTGGGCGGGGAGAGGGTGGCGGGCTGGGGGCCTTGCGTTCTCTCTTGTGAAGGGAGAAAACGCTGTGGAGGTGTGAGGATTTTGTTTTAAAAGCTCTGTTAATGTTGAAAAGGAAAATCTTTTGAAATTGTGTAATTTTGATTTTCTTTGTCAAAAGAGACTTTTGCAAAATGATTTCAAAACTACAGGCAAAAGTAGCTTTGGCTTGTTAGTTACTTTGGGTGACGTGGAGTCTCAGTCTGTGACTGTAATTTTTATGTCTCTTTTCATTTCAGAAAAGTAAACAAGTGCTACAGGGGCCGTTCTTGTCCAATAATTGTTCATTGCAGGCAAGTACCACTTTAAACATGGGCTAAGACGTTCTTGCTACCGCAAAAAATAATCTATGCAGCTAAATATGGGAGCTCAACTTTCTAATCGCTTAGTAAATATAGCTAACTGATAATTTCTAAAGGAAAACCAGAGATACAAACTTAATTTTCGAAGCCACTTGGCTAAATAAAAGTCGGTATTTGTTCTGCCATATCCATGTGAACTGCACACGGTGCTGTTTCCTTTCTAGCAACTTGCTGTGCGCTGTGTTCTGTTCACCGCCCTGCTTTTCCTTACACGCGTGTGGCACCATCGCACAAAAACTTTGATCGCTTGTATTGTCTCAGCCACCAGTGCGTGAGCAGAGGTCTGGACCCCTGTGCAGACGGAGAGGGACACTAGGGCCACCGGTGAGCAGGGACGAGATCCGTCATGGCAAGGTGGGCGGCCACCTCCAGTCCGCTGCAAGAGTCTGGGCCTTTGGGCCAAAGCTCCGTGACTCATCTCCTTAGTTCACGTGAAACCACACCAGCAGGACCGGATCCGCTCAAGGAAAGCTCAGTCTAGTGGTCCTGTTTCTGCTGGGCTTGGTACTCAACTATTTTAGGGAAAGAAGCCATACTCCATTTTTCTAGAACTGTCTTACAGAATGGTCTTTTCTGCCTAGAATAAATCAGAGATCTGCCCACAGAGATCAGACACCAAATCTGTCGATTTAGTCAAGAAGCACGTGTGTGCGTGTGTGTGTGTCTGCATGTGTGTACGTGTGTGTGCATGTGTGAGTGTGTGTGCGTGTGTGTTTACGTGTGTGTGTGCAGGTTTGTGTGCGTGTGTGCGCACACGTGTGAGTGTATGCGTGTGTTTGTGAGTTTGTCTGTGAGAGAGGAGGAGGCAACAGAGCGTATCCTGAAAGAGTAGAACAGAACATCTTTTGCCCATACGTGTATCAAGACAAGCATGTTTATAGTATGCCTTAAAACATGCACATGGATGTGTGCGGTGTGCAGGAGACACGTGAGAAAAACGTCCTGCCTCAAGACGCAGCCATTCGCAGTGGCCGGCGCTGCCTCCCTGTGGTGACGCGGTGCGGGCACGTGTACGCCAAAGCGAAACACGGACGCACACGTCTTGCCGGCCGCAGCTTTCCCAGCCGTCTCTTCAAGGAAACGTGCAACAGCTAAAGCCAAACGCAGTGCTCGTTCCCGTCCAAGGAGCCAGGCTTGTGTCCCGGATCGCAGGCCGGACCCGACACCGGAGCAGACGGTGTGCGGTCGCCACTCCCTTCCTGAGGTCTTGAAATGGGAGCGTTTATCTTTCCGCAAGTCGCGGTGGACTTTGCGGGGAGCACGGTGCGGAAGCCGGCCCCATGCGAGGGCGGGCGCAGGTGCCCAGGGCCCCGCACGCCCAGGTGGCCCAGCAGCGGCCCCGGCGCGGGACGGAAGTTTCCGCACGTTCCTTGTGACAAAGCTCGGCGCTGAGGCTGCCTTCCCCCAGAAAGGGAGTTTCCGCTTGTGCGTTTGCTGCTGTCCAGCGACGTGCAAACGCTTTCCGACTCCAGCCCAGGTGGTGAACGTTCCAGTTGTAGCTGGTGGGGCCAGACCGGGAGGAAATGAGAGCACTTTTTAAAGAGCACGATTGAGTAACACACGCTGCATGTATTTCTGCCTCCGAGGCATTTAAGAAACATTCTCTTAAAAAGGGCAGACCGGCCGGGCGCGGTGGCTCACCTGTGATCCTAGTGCTTTGGGGAGGCTGAGGCAGGAGGATCGCTCAAGCCCAGGAGTTCGAGGCTGCAGTGGGCTATGGTGACGCCACTGCACTCCAGCCAGGGTGCAGAGCAAGACTCTGTCTCAAAAAAGAACCAATTTAAAAAGGGCGACACGCAGCCAGGCCGCCCTGCCGAGGCGCAGCCGCCAGCCCCTCCACTCCCCCCGAGGCTGCCCAGGGTGCAGAGAAAGAGTCTCCCAGATACTCTGGAATACAAATGCCATGGACTCCGGCGTGGGCAACCACTGTTTCCCTTTTCCCCGACAAGACCGACCGCGTCTCTGGCCAAAGCCGGGGCGGGAGAAAGAAACAGACGCGAGGCGCAGAGCAGAGAGCGGCCCCTCGAGCTGCCCAGAAAGCTTGGGGCAGCCCGGTTCCCGCCTTCCTCCCCCGCCGTGTGCTCCCAGCCCATCCGCTGCTCCTCCCTCCCGCCGGAGCCCCCTCCCCCGCTCCCCCGCCGGCTCGGGCGGGCACGGAGGGAACGGTGGCGCCCCTAGCTGGGTGGTGCCCCTCCCGGGTGGTGGGGCTGACTCGCTCTCCTTCTGTTGGCAGTGATGGCGCGGGCCGGAGCGGCACCTACATCCTGATCGACATGGTCCTCAACAAGATGGCCAAAGGTGAGCCGGCGCCCGGGCATGGGTGGCGCAGGGCGGGACCACATTGCCATGGTAACGCAGGGTGGGATGGGCCCAGGAGGCCTCTGGGAACTCACGGGTTGTGGTCCCTTCCCCAAATCACATTAGGGTGGCTTGCAGGGGCTCGCTCTGCTCGCCGCCCCCACTTGCTGTGCGCACACAGTAGGTCCTCGATAGAGGTTGTTGCCACGTGCCGGCAGCGCCAGCGTCGGATCTGGGGAGGATGCAGCCTGTGGGTCTGCACACGCTAAGGTATTTTGCGTGACTCCGCGCTGCCGTGACAGCCGTACTTGCAGAACATTTGTGGCTTAGGCTTCATGCTGGGGTCGCACTGGGAATCTCTGGGAGCACAGTGCTTCCCCGAAAATAAGACCGACCCCTAAAGTAACTCCTAGCAGGATTTCTAAGCATTTGCGCAATAGAAGCCCCACCCCGAAAATAAGACCTAGCGACGGGCGTGGCTGCACAGCACATCTGCACAACCTGTGCATGTCATCGAGGATCGGGAAAGACGACGAGCAGCCCTTCTCATCTGCCCCATCGTGACAGCGACTGTCCCAGAGGTGACCGGAAAGGTGCGGGCGGCCCCACCAACAAGGTCGGCTCCCCCGTCAGGTCCCAGCCGTCCTGTGCATGCCGCAAGCTAAGGCTTTGAGGGGAAAATAACACATGCCCTGAAAACAAGCCCCAGGGTGTCTTCTTGAGGAAAAATAAATATAAGACCCTGTCTCATTTTCGGGGAAACACGGTAGCTGCCCTCAGATAGAAACCGCCAAATCTCAGACAAACCTCTCCACGCCTCTCTGACATCTTCCCATCTCGGTGAGCCTGTTTGCCCTCCCAGGGCTTCTGCTCTTGTGGCAGCCTCAGGTGCTCGGCCCGGGGCGTGGTCAGGTGAGAGCAAGACAGCGCAGGGCAGATCTGAGGGCCCCGGTTCTGCCGCGATGAGCCGTGTGGCCGTGGACGGAGCTTCGACCCCTCTGGGCGCAGCTTCCCCTACAGCAGTGCGGGGTGGGCCGGCCTGACCCTTCCCCAGGGCTGCCCGCCGACCCGCCCCAGCCTGAGGCCGTCCCCGTAGACCAGGCGGAGGGAGGTTCCCGGCCAGCCCGGCTCAGCAGGACACGCAGAGAACCGCGTCAGCTCGCTGGACCCCGCGTGCCCCAGCCGTGTCTAGACAGACGCCGTTTTCCCCGCGACGCCTGCTGTGCCCATGGAACCCGGGAAACGCTAAGGTCGTGACACGTCACATGGCGTCTTTCCCACACGCGAATAAACCGCTCTCTGCATCCGAACACGTACACACGCACGTATGTGTGCCCGTGCGGAGTCTCTGCCCTCCAGAACGCCCCATCTTCATCCACTGCCCGGGACAGGCAGGAATTGGCGATAGAAATGAGTTTCTGCACATTTCACAGATGCCAGCAACCCCGAAACAGGAATTTTTCTTTAGCCCAAGGGCATACACGTGTGAAGATAAAACCGCAGCCGTGGCCTCCCACGTGGGACTAGAGCACGTGACCCAAAGTCCTGGCGCCCACGGCGGGCAAAGCCGCGCCCAGGCTCCCGCGCCCGCCTTTGCCGGCTGCTGGGGGGAAATGAAATTGGTTTTCGTTCCACCAAACACTGTTTTAAGGACCCTAAATTAGCTTAGAGCCGGGGACGTGTAAACAACAAAAGACGCAAACAAAAACCAAAATGCAAACACTCCGGCGTTCCTTTAGCACTGATTTGGGTTCCCGGACAGAGCACAGCCCTGGCCGTTTCGGTGAAAAGCCGCGATTTCCTCGCCCGTGGATGCCACGTGTCCCCTCAAACCCGCGTAGTCCTTCCCACGTTCGCAGCCATCGGGCCAACCGGTGGACGGGGAGCACCAGTCATTTCCTCCCCGTCCCAGCGCCGGCCCGACACCTCGCCCCCAGCGGCACTCGCAGTCCGCACGGCGATCTGTGCTGTGCGCTGACGACGCGTCCGATTTGCTCTCGTGCGATGAGGAAAGCTTGAAAGCTCGTTTCACTTTACAGGCAGCTCTACTTGTCACGTCAATCAGAGTAGGCAACATATACATGTGTGTTTTCGTTACCTTATTTTTAAATGTTCACAATTTTATTTTGATAAATGAAAAATTAGAGAAGTCATATCACGGCTGTGGGCTAAAGTCGCTGGGCGTGTTCGCCTGTGGCTGTCGACCGTAGTCGACGCTCGTGCCGAAGCGGCTAATCCAGCTGCAGCCTGCTTCCGTCCACGCCTGTGTCTGCCCCGCGTGGCGGGGTGAGCCGCTCGGGGACCCCTACTCCACATGGAGACTCGCCGAGAGCAGGGCCAAGGGGCTCTGGGTTCCCGCATCCGCCGGGACTGCCCTGGCTCCGCCGCGCCCCGAGACAGAGCCCGGGCCCCCGCCCCGGCCCGGCCGACCTGGAGAAGTGCGTTCCGGCCTCGGGACCGCCTGGGGGGCAGGGTGGACGCCACCGTCCGGGCACCACGGACCGTGTCCACCGCACCCTGTCACGTCAGATGCCGGGCCGCACACGGCTGCTCACAGAGCCATGCAGCCATGTGGCACTGGCCGGCGGGCAGGCTGGGCCCCTTCTGCTCCCGGTCTGCTCCCTCCACGGGGCTGGGGGTGGGATCCCCCGACCTGGGCCTGCCGTGGTCTGGGGGGGCCTTTCCCAGGCCGCCACCCCGAGGGGCCTCGCGTTTTGTTCTGGGCCGGCCTGTGCGCGGGCGGCGGCGTCTTTGTCTGGCCCGAGAGCCAGGGGCCGCGGTGCAGAGCAGCGTTCATCAGATGATCAAAGGCCCCGAGCCCTGGGCGGGAGACCTTTCTTCCCGCCTCCCTTTCTCAAAAGGAATGAATTGCCGGGACGAAGAATGGCTCTGCAAAGCCTCCCTCCCTCCCGCCAGCGCGGACGTGGGTCCCGGGCTGAGTGCGCCCAGCTGCCACTGCGGCCTGCCAGCCGGCCCTTGTCCAGGCGGCCTTTCGGGGATTAAGGCCCGGTGTGAGGGCCTTCAAGAATGAACTTGGCATAATTTAAGTCCGCTCTCCACTGTCTGGTTCGGCAGCAAGCAGACAATGCTGCAGCTGGGAATCAAAGCGGACAGGCCCGCGCTGTGCAGAGGCTCTGCGGCGGGAGGGGAGGCAGCAGCCTGCAGACGCCCCCGAGCCGTCCCGCCGCGGCAGAGCGCTCCTGGCGGCAGGTGAAGTGGGCGCAGAGCGTCAGGGCCGGCTGTCCCGCTCTCACTGGAGGGCCGAGCTCGCACGGAGCAGAGAGTGCTTTCTCAGCAGAGAGACTTTCCCAGGCTGACACCCCTCGCTCAGCTCTTCCTCCCTCCTGGCGCGTGGTGAAGGCGGGCGGAGCACCAGGACCCGTATGCTGGGTTGCCGGGGGGCGGGGCTTACAGAGGTCAGCTGGAAGTCTTCCTGGCTGTAATTGCCATGAGTCTCTGGTTAGGGTCGTCCAGGGAAAGTGTGAAGTGAACACTGCTCGGCACAGGAGGCCCAGGATGGCGTGTGGGTGAGCATGTGTGTGTGTGGCGTGGGTGTGTGTGATGTGTGAGTGGGCAGTGTGGTGGGTGTGTGCTATGTGGGCATGTGCATGCCTGTGTGCACATGCATGTGTATGACTGTGTGATATGGCGTGTGGGTGCTGTGTGGGCATGTGCATGCTTTGTGTACATGCCGGTGCATGCATATGTGTGTGTATGATTGTGTGAGTGCGTGATGTGGCGTGTGGGTGCTGTGTGGGCATGTGCATGTCTGTGTATACAGGCAGGTGCATGGATGTGTGTATATGGTTGTGTGAGTGTGTGATGTGGCATGTGAGTGTTGTGTGGGCATGTGCGTGCCTATGTGTACATGTAGGTGCATGGATGTGTGTGTGAGTGTGTGATGTGGCATGAGGGTGCTGTGTGGGCATGTGCATGCCTGTGTGTACATGCAGGTGCATGGATGTGTATGATTGTGTGATGTGGCGTGTGGGTGTTGTGAGGGCATGTGCATGCCTCTGTGTACATGCAGGTGCATGCATATTACGTGTATGATTGTGTGAGTGCATGATGTGGCGTGTGGGTGCTGTGTGGGCATGTGCATGTCTGTGTATACATGCAGGTGCATGGATGTGTGCGTATGGTTGTGTGAGTGCATGATGTGGCATGTGGGTGTTGTGTGGGCATGTGCATGCCTATGTGTAGATGTAGGTGCATGGATGTGTGTGATTGTGTGAGTGTGTGATGTGGCATGTGGGTGCTGTGTGGGCATGTGCATGCCTGTGTGTACATGCAGGTGCACAGATGTGTATGATTGTATGACGTGACGTGTGGGTGTTGTGTGGGCATATGCATGCCTGTGTGTACATGCCGGTGCATGCATATGTGTGTGTATGATTGTGTGAGCGTGTGATGTGGCATGTGAGTGCTGTGTGTGCATGTGTGTAGATGCAGGTGCATGCATATGTGTGTACGATTGTGCGAGTGTGTGATGTGGCATGTGGGTGCTATGTATGCATGTGCATGCCTGTCAGTGTGTGATGTGGGGTGTGACTGTTGCACGGCGTGTGCATGTCGTGTGCACCTGTGCATGTGCACAGTGTGCAGTTGGTGCTAAAGGAGGCGCAGAGACCCGCACGCGCGTCCCTGTGTGGCGCCACAGCACCCCTCTCTTGCCTTGAACCCGGCTTTGTTCTGCTGGACACGAGGGAACTCCGGCCGGGCATCCGTCAGCCAGGGCAGTGCCGGGTCTGACTCTGCCGACGTGGGGGGCTGGGGCGGCGTGGCGTTGCCCCTGACAACTCAGCCCCAGCAAACCGTGAGCTCCAGACAGACGTGCCCGACGGGAGGTGCGAGGACCTGTGCCCCCCCCAACACGGGACTGTTCCGCTTTGCCCCTTGTGGGTTCGTGATAACCACATTTATTCCGGATTCCTTTATTCCTGTAAGACGCATTTAGCTAGGGGCCCGCACTTTCTCAGTTCTTCCAGAGGGTAGAATTGAGGAAATTTACTGCTGCAAAATAAAGGGCCGTCGTCTCTTGCACGTTTGATACGTGCTGCCCTTCTTGCTTCCAAGGAAAAATGCTTTGTATCCCTGCAGTTTGTGAGACCCTCCGGGTAAAAGAAAAATGTGTACTAAAATTCTACTAGCTGGTTGGGTTGTTGTTACTCCTCTCTACTTTACTCACAAACAGTAGTACAAAGGTGTCACGGTGTGGTAAGATAAGAAAGATTGTATGCATACATTTTACCAAAGGATCCGGGTATCTGTGGGAGGCGGCCGTGGTCTCCCAGGACAACTGCCCGGACGTAGCCCTCGGTGGCTCCGACGTCCCCACCCGGAATCCTGTAAGAGCCACTTCCCATGGGAGACTGCACGGTATGTCAGCCTCCGTGCTAGTCCTATCACACAGAAAGCCCTTCAGAGTGCAATAGCTGTTGAAAGTTGCTTCTTTAAAATCAATTTCAGGGACAGTAAGAAAGTACCCTGTGAAAACTAAAAAAAAAAAAAGAGAGTTGGTTTTTTTTTCACGTCTGCATTCCAGACAAAGCCCTCGCCGTCCCATCTTGGAAGGACTCGGAGTTCCTCTGTCTGTCAGATCGGACTTTCACACCGCGTCTGAGGCTCCTCAGGTTCACGACTCCCGGGTCACAGAGCCGGGCGGTCGCCGTGGAGCAGCCACCGTGTTCCTCGCGCCGGGAAGAGGACGTTCCGGGCTCCCCTGGGGGACTGTCGTGTCCCGTGTGATCTCACTGGGCCCCTGCAAGGACCCCTTGAAACGGGAAACGAGGCGCATGCCGGAGGCGGGGAAGGGCAGACGCTGCCCCCAGCCCGCCCTGCGCGGCCGGGAACCAGATGCCACCCAGATTCTGGCACCTGGCACCTGTCGCGACCCAGTGCTCGCTCTATTTTTGTTTTGGAAAAAATTCTAAAGAGCCAGCGGGCACCTTGTATTTTCAGTCGCTGCAGACCAGTTCTGATAAATTTCTGTTCGGCCCCGGGGCAGTCCCGGCTGGAGCCACCGCGCCCAGCCAGCGCACTTGGCAGACGGCGTTTCCCCCGCCGCAGACGTGGACGAGCTCCAACGTGGACACGGCTCCTCACGTGCAGTGTCCGTGTCTGGGCCCGTTGCGGTGCCCACGTGCAGTGGGACCTCTGACTGGCCTCGGCGTTGCGTTCGCGACACTGGCGAGAAGTCACGAGACCCTGCGGCGCGTTTAACTGCGCATTTTCCCGGCTGGTGCGCAGTTGTTAATGCCGGCGGTTTGGCAGAACGGCTTCCCTCGTCGGCGAGGGAGGGCGGATGCCGGGCAGGGTGACTCCGCTGCGCAGACATGCGCGTTGTGACTCCTCATCACTAAGCGATTTGGCTGCACAGGTGCGTTCTACACACCGTGGCCACACAGCAAGCTCTCGCCACGCCTTCAGAGCCGGCCAGGCAGGAGTGGGGTGCCTGGTGGCCGCGCCCCCTTCCTTTGGGACGCCCCGTCTGGGGTCTGCGTTCAGCATCAGGCTCTGCGGCCAACTCGAGATTTGAGTCGCGCCTCCCGCGGGTCTCCGGTTTTATTTTGTGCCCTTTCAGAAGCAGGCCCCTGTTCAGGGCATCTCAGCTTCCTCCGTTCCGATGTCCCGTCCTTAAACCCAGCCGGCCTGGACGCCCGGTACACGCGTTTCACAAACTCATCCTCTTATCTCGGAACGTTTTAAATGCATGGGTTTCCTCTAAGACGAGAACGTGTTCCTGCAGCCTCCTCAACTCCTGGAGCCTTTTTCCACCGTGGAGGAGCAGTCACGCAGACCCCTAGGGGCGCCCTCCTCCAACAGGGGCGCGTCCGCTGGGGGCGCCCTCCTCCCACCCGGGCGCGTCCCCTGGGGGCGCCCTCCTCCCGCCCGGGCGCGTCCCCTGGGGGCGCCCTCCTCCGACCCTGGTGCCTCCCCTGGGGGCGCCCTCTTCCCGCCTGGGCGCGTCCCCTGGGGGCGCCCTCCTCCCACCCGGGCGCATCCCCTAGGAGCGCCCTGGCACCAGGGTCGCAGGCTGAGCGCTGACCCCAGGGGCTGCTCCTGTCCCACCCTGAGTGACGGGCGGGCGCACAGGGCGCCCAGGCCCAGCAGAGCCGTGCTCCCTCCCTCGGGCAGGGAGCTGGGGCCGTCAGCTCAGTCCTGACGGTGACCCCGTTACAGGTGCCTGCCGAGTGCCGTCTCGGCCTCACCTGTGCCTGGAGGATGGGGACACGGGCGGGGGCCGGGCGGGGCCGCGGGCATCTTCGCTGCCAGCCTGTCCCCACTCTCGCCTTGTTTCTTGCATGCAGATGTGACATGTGGTCCCCACGGGTTCCCCACCAGCGCCGCCACCGTCCCCGCTGTTCCTTCCTGCCACCAGCAGCCCCGAGTTCAGGTCCTCGCCCCTCGGGGGTGGCACCCGGTCGGCCCCCGCCCCGGGGGAGGACCTTCCGGAAGAGTCCGAGTCACAGCCGTGTGCACACGGGCGTCCCTGGCTTCTCGGCGCCTCCCCGTAAAGCCACAGCGCCGCGTGAGGGTGGCCTTGGGGACGCTCACAGCCGCCCTCCTGCTGCGAGGGTCAGGGGGACACGGCTGCACTCGGCTTGGGGCGGAGAGGACAGGCGGCGGCTCTACTGTGGCCGCTCCCCAGGGCGCCCGGCTGGCGCCATCCCGCCGGGCGTGGCCGGTTCTGGCAGGCGCAGCTGCCTCCCCTCGGTGTGGCCTTGGCAAGTCTTGGGGTCCTCGTCCATGAGGCGGGGGCACAGTCGTCACCTTGCTGTTCCGGGAGGATGGGAGGTGACGCCGCGCCCACCAGGGTGGCACCTGCCCGCCCTGCTCTGGGGGCTCCTGGCCGCCTCGGAGGCGCCCCTCCCCCGCCGCCCTTGGTGAGAGCCGCCTTCCCTGCACCGGCCGTCCTGCCCCCTCCAGCCTGCGGCAGGTGGGAGCTGGGGTCCTGTCCGGCTCTGCCCACCAGGGCCAGAAACGGGGCAGTGAGAGTGTATGTTGAATTAACGACGAGGTGAAGACTCAAAGCTCAGACGGCGCCGCCTGTCTCCACCATGGCTCTGGGGAAAACGTGGCCCTAGGGGCACGGCCGTGGGCATCTTGACCCTTTCTTGAAATTCGAAACCCTCGCTCTTAAGAGACACGGGGCCAGGCGCGGTGGCTCCCACCTGTAATCCCAGCACTCTGGGAGGCCGAGGCGGGAGGATCACTCAAGGTCAGGAGTTCGAGACCAGCCTGAGCAAGAGAGAGACCCCATCTCCACTAAAAACAGAAAAATTAATCAACCAACTAAAAACATATAGAAAAAATGAGCCGGGCATGGTGGCGCATGCCTGTAGTCCCAGCTACTCGGGAGGCTGAGGCAGGAGGATTGCTTGAGCCCAGGAGTTTGAGGTTGCTGTGAGCTAGGCTGACGCCACGGCACTCACTCTAGCCTGGGCAACAAAGCGAGACTCTGTCTCAAAAAAATAAATAAATAAATAAAAGCCAATATTGATATTTAGTCTGATCAGTCTAAATGAGTCTAATTTTTCATTTCTTTAAATAAAAAATATCCCATGCAATAAAAATGGAAGTGCGTGTATACCATTTCTTGTGATTTAAAAAGTTCTTTAAAATGCCACCAAGAAAAAAAAAAAAACCACTTAGTGAAGCTTCGGTTCTGGCGGGAGCTGGCCGTTGGCGGGTGTCTGTGAAGCCGTCCCGCGCCCGGCTCTCAGCCCAGCTCCTGGGTTCACGCTAACGGGAGCCGCCCCCGCCGCCTCCCCCACACACACACCTGAAACTGCGGCGCCTGTGAGGAGGGAGATAATTTCCAACTGGCCTCTGGGCCCCGGGGGAGCCCGGCGGCGGGAGACTGGGGCGCAGACGGGTGCCGGGCGCCCGCTCACGGCGCGTGCTCTGTTGCAGGTGCTAAAGAGATCGACATCGCCGCCACCCTGGAGCACCTGCGCGACCAGCGGCCCGGCATGGTCCAGACCAAGGTAGGGTGGGCCGCCCCGGACACGCGTGCGTCGAAGGCGCCGTCCTCGGGGGTCCTGGGAGGGGGATGGGTCGGCTCTGCTCGGAGGAGGGACCCTCGTCGACTGCGGCCTTCGTGGGCGGGGGCTCCCCGGGCCCCCCAGTCTCCCGGCGACTCCTGCGGCCACCGGGCGTGTCTGCCTCAGCGCCCACAGTGAGTCAGGTGGCCGGAGCTCAGCGGGCGGGAGGTGTCCGTGCACCTGCCTGGGGTCGGGGGGCAGGGACACTGCGTTTCTGTGGAGAGTGACACAGGGAAGACCTGGAACCCTTGTAGGGAACCCTCTGCCCACCCCTGTCTCCCGCACCCCTGCCTGGAGCTCACAGGGCCTCCTCCTGGTTTCTGTCTCTCTCTGTCTCTGTCCCTCTCTCTCTGTCTCTGTCCCTCTCTCTCTGTCTCTGTCCCTCTCTCTGTCTCCGTTCCTCTCTCTCTGTCTCTGTCTCTCTCTCTCTGTCTCCGTTCCTCTCTCTCTGTCTCTGTCTGTCTCTGTCCCCCTCTCTCTGTCTCTGTCCCTCTCTCTCTGTCTCTGTCTGTCTCTGTCCCTCTCTCTCTGTCCCTCTCTCTCTGTCCCTCTCTCTCTCTGTCTCTCTCTGTCTCTGTCCCTCTCTCTCTCTATCTCTGACCCTCTCTCTCTCTGTCTCTGTCCCTCTCTCTCTGTCTCTGTGTGTCTCTGTCCCTCTCTCCTTGTCTCTGTCCGTCTCTCTCTGTCTCGATCCCTGTCTCTCTGTCTCTGTCCCTCTCTCTCTCTGTCTCTGTCCCTCTCTCTGTGTCTCTGTGTGTCTCTGTCCCTCTCTCTCTGTCTCTGTCCCTCACTCTCTGTCTCTGTCCCTGTCTCTCTGTCTCTGTCCCTCTCTCTGTGTCCCTCTCTGTCTCGGCCTTTGCGCACACACGACACCTGGTTCCACTGTCGCTGGGCTCTGTTGTCAGAGGCGCGGCCGGGGCTGCCTACTCTCGCCCAAGAGAAGCTCGAGTGGCAGTCACAGGAAGGTGTTTTGTCCCAACCCGCTTTGAGAGAGGTGCTGGGGAGGGAGACGGCACACTCACCGCAGCTCTCTTCAAAGCCAGGGGTGATAAAAATTTAACAGTGACAGTTCAGTCTCATGGGTGCTCCAGACTCTGGTTGGAACCTGACAGGTGACAAATGTAAATATGACAATAAACATAAACCCAGGTGACCAGAGTGCCCGGCCCCGGGGCCCTGCCCGGGCACGGCGGCAGCTGGCGTCTGGGATGCTCATCTGACTCGCGCCCCTGCCGTGTCCTGCGCTGTCCCGGCCAGCGTGGCCCAGGGCCGTGACCTGACAGCAACCCAGCAGCCTGGACCCGGCCGGGAGGGACGCCCTGCCTTGGCCGCTTCTCAGCTTCGGGGACGGGGGCGGCCAGTGCGGCGGGAGGAACCGTAGGAAGTGTCTCCCGCAGGTCTCTGGTTTTATTTTGTGCCCTTTCAAACTCACGTCCTTGTTCAGAGCATCTCAGCTTCCCTCGTTCCGACGTCCCGTCTTTAAACCCAGCCGGCCCGGGCGCGGCCCTGTCTTCGTGCTTGCCCGTTTTCCCTTTGAAGATCGCTCTTAGGCTGGTTTCCCAGGGTGTCAAAAGATGTAAATAGAGACATGACACTTAGGCTCTTGGATGCCCAAAAGCCACCTTTAATTTTTTTTTTTTTTTTGCATTTTGAAATCATCGCAAAACCGCAGCCTGTGTGTCGGCTCGGAGAGAGGGCCTTGCGGCTGTTTGCGCCCGTTCAGCCCGACCCTCCCACGGCGGGGCCGCGGGGCTGCCAGTGTGGGGACGGGCAGGGGCAGGCTGGCCTCGGGGCAGGATGTTCGCGGCCATCCTGGTGAGGCCGGGCCCTGGGCCCACGCCCTCCAGGCCGGCGTCCGAGTGATTGTGAGGAGAGGAGAGGGGCCGGCCCCCGATGGTCAGGCAGGGCACACTGGGCGCCGTCCCCACGGGTCCCGTCCGGGAGCGATGACCAGGCCCGGGGTTGGTGGTGACAGTAGGCTCTAGACGTCCCAGAGGCGCCACAGGAACAAGGGCAGCACATGGGGGCTCGGGTGGCCCCGCTAACGTCAGGTCGGGGCCTTAGGGGAGAAACTCTTTGTCCCAAAGAGAGCATGACAGGGCTCACACTTTCCGACATTGTTTGTTTGTTTTTGAGACAGAGTCTCACTCTGTTGCCCAGGCTACAGTGAGTGCCGTGGCGTCAGCCTAGCTCACAGCAACCTCAAACTCCTGGGCTCAAGTGATCCTCCTGCCTCAACCTCCCGAGTAGCTGGGACTATAGGCATGCGCCACCATGCCTGGCTAATTTTTTTTTTCTAAATTTTTTTAGTTGGCCAATTAATTTCTTTCTGTTTTTAGTAGAGACAGGGGTCTCGCTCTTGCTCAGGCTGGTCTCTAACTCCTGACCTTGAGCGATCCTCCCGCCTCAGCCTCCCAGAGTGCTGGGATTACAGGCGTGAGCCACCGCGCCCAGCCTCGGACGTTTTCATTCCAGTTATTTTCCATGCTTCTGTTATGCACTGAACGTTCAAACTGGAAAGCAAGCATTTCTTTTGGATTTGGAGCTACCCTATTGCTTGAATCATCAAGTGTCTCAGCATCGACGGGGCTTCTCTTATTCGAGAGCTGCTCCCTGCGTGATAGTTTGTGTTACGTGTTCCTTTCCCTGGGTTCTCTGGTGAACCCGGCAGGTGCCTGTGGCCCACGCTGGGGTTGTGGGGGGGGGGGGGTTCCTGGTGGCAACTGAAGGACAACAGGGACGGCCCCCCCCCGTCCGCCTGGCCGGCGTTGGAGGAGGTGGCACGCCCCTGCCCACGCCGGCCGCTTGCAGGCACCAGTGGTCCCGAGCTGGCGCATCCTCCCTCCCGTCCCCCATCCCAGTGGCACCCTGGGTCCAAGCTGGTGTCCGCGAGGGGTGGGCGGATCCCCTGTTGCCCGGCCGACGTCCGGGAGGGGTGGGGCACTCACAGCCTCGCGCAGGAGAGTCTGAACCGGCTGCCGCCTGTTCTGGCGCCAGGAGCAGAGCTGCTCGGGCTGAGGACGCTGGATCCGAAAGCCCGGCTCTCACCGCCTCCACGCCTCCGAGGACAGGGAACGCCCGGTGTGGCTCTCGGTGTGCGAGTTCCACGCTTGCCCACGGCCAGGCCTGGGGCTGGCGATGAGGACCGGGCAGGCACCTGGAGCCCCCCGGCCGCCCCCGCACGCCCCACATCTGTCTCCCCGGGAGGAGGGAGGATGGGGCTTCCCAGCACAGGACGCTCCTGCCCGTCATTGTCCTCGGCTTTGGGTCTGTCGCACCAAAGGCCCTGCCCCCCACGCGGGAATCTGAGGCCGCCCTGCCTCCCTCCTGTGTGATCTCTTCCCGCAGAGCAGCACGCCCTGGCGGCAATGGCCGATGGCCTGAGGGCGGCCACGCTCTTCCCTGGCGGCGATGGCCGATGGCCTGAGGGCGGCACGCTCTTCCCTGGCGGCGATGGTGGATGGTCGGAGGGCGGGCACGCTCTTCCCTGGCGGCGATGGCTGATGGTCGGGAGGGCGGCCACGCTCTTCCCTGGCGGCAATGGCCGATGGCCTGAGGGCGGCACGCTCTTCCCTGGCGGCGATGGTGGATGGTCGGAGGGCGGGCACGCTCTTCCCTGGCGGCGATGGCCGATGGTCGGGAGGGCGGCCACGCTCTTCCCTGGCGGCGATGGCCGATGGTCGGGAGGGCGGCCACGCTCTTCCCTGGCGGCGATGGCCGATGGCCTGAGGGCGGCCACGCTCTTCCCTGGCGGCGATGGCCGATGGTCGGGAGGGCGGCCACGCTCTTCCCTGGCGGCGATGGCCGATGGTCGGGAGGGCGGCCACGCTCTTCCCTGGCGGCGATGGCCGATGGCCTGAGGGCGGCCACGCTCTTCCCTGGCGGCGATGGCCGATGGTCGGGAGGGCGGCACGCTCTTCCCTGGCGGCGATGGCCGATGGCCTGAGGGCGGCCACGCTCTTCCCTGGCGGCGATGGCCGATGGTCGGGAGGGCGGCCACGCTCTTCCCTGGCGGCAATGGCCGATGGCCTGAGGGCGGCACGCTCTTCCCTGGCGGCGATGGTGGATGGTCGGAGGGCGGGCACGCTCTTCCCTGGCGGCGATGGCCGATGGTCGGGAGGGCGGCCACGCTCTTCCCTGGCGGCGATGGTGGATGGTCGGGAGGGCGGCCACGCTCTTCCCTGGCGGCGATGGCCGATGGTCGGGAGGGCGGCCACGCTCTTCCCTGGCGGCGATGGTGGATGGTCGGAGGGTGCACGCTCACCAAGCTCTCTCCTCTCCCTGCAGGAGCAGTTCGAGTTCGCGCTGACGGCTGTGGCGGAGGAAGTGAACGCCATCCTCAAGGCCCTGCCCCAGTGAGCGCCCGGCCCGCCTGGACGCCCGGGGCACCGTGCCGCGGCTTTCATGGAGCGTCCCCTGGCGTGGCCGCGCAGAGACGGGGCCCTCGGAGCTCCCGTAGCCCGTGCACTTTAGCAGTTAAAAATGTGTATTTTCGTTCAACCAAATAACAGTAGAGATTCTGGGGAACACCCGGTTCTTGGGGGCGGGGAACCCTTCATCTGTCTTCTTCAATTTCTTCTGGAAAATGACTCTTCCTGGACGCGCATGTCCGAGTTCTGGATGGCGGATGCACGAATGAGGCGGTAACGGGACATCCCGGGGGGTCTCCAAGAACAGAGTCTGCTCGCTGCGTGTGGCTTCCCGGGGGTGGTGGGGGGACGGGTCGGCTCTGCAGGGAGAGGCACGGGGGGACCCCAGGTGCACAGACCACGTCTGCGTCTGTCGCTGGGAGGAGCCCCGGGGCAGAGCCGTGGGCGCCCGCAGCGTTGGGGCCAGTGATAACAGAATCTCGGTGGCATCTGGGTGCTCTCACCGCCCCCGCCCCCACCCTGCCCCGAGCACCAGCCACACGCGCCACCCCAGGGAAGGAAGGGCCAGGGCCCCCCCGCCCAGGGCAAACGCCGGCTGCTGGGGCCGGGCAACCCCCGTGACCCTCTCGGCATTCCAGAGAGACATCGGCGACCCAACCCTGACGGTTTTAACGTCACAATATCGATTTGCCCGTCGCAAACCCAGACGCCCCGGTGAACCCTTCCCCGTGAACGGCCGCGGCCGGGAAGGGCTGGCCTGGCATCTGGCAGAGCTCGGGCCACCGAGGCCTCCCCGGGAAGGCCGGGCCAGGGCGGGCTGGGGACAGGACCCCCTTCCCCTGGGGCAGGACGCACGGACCGTGAGCTCTGTGCGGGGTGAGGCGTAGGGCAGACACCGCCACACACGCTGCCGTGTCCTGGCCGCGTTCCCGTCTGCGCAGACGCCGCGCCCGGAAGGCAGGACGGCGGGGAAGGGGCCGCGGCGTGGAAGGCAGGACGGCGGGGAAGGGGCCGCGGCGTAGAAGGCAGGACGGCGGGGAAGGGGCCGCGGCGTGGAAGGCAGGACGGCGGGGAAGGGGCCGCGGCGTGGAGGGGAGACGCCAAAATCCCGTCCCCAAGCGGTACTTGCAGTGTGGCCCGCGTGGGTGTGCCCGTCATTTCTCTCTGTCTGGAATTTAAATAATTAATAGAAGCGAGTTTATCTGAATATAGGAAGCATATACCTGCTTATAGTTTCTAACTTCTTATGTCCCAAAAGAGGTCCTCCAGCGTGAGATACACGAATAGATTTAACTGTGTCAAATTAAACTTCCGATTTCACAACCGAGTGGCCTTTGTTTGGAGAGGACGCGGCGGCCTCTTCTCCTGTCTTTTTGCTTCCGGAAGGTGTTGGCCAGGGAGGCCGCTAACACGAAGCTCGGGCATTTCTAGAGCTTACCTCGCGTTGCGGTCCTACCTGTGACATGGGACACATGTGGGGGTCAGGGCGTCACTGAGTTTTAGTCTCTGAAACACGGCTGAACAACCTCGGTGCAAACCGCACACGTTGCTGTGCCCGCCCCACCCCCACCCCCGGGTTGGGTCCATGTCCCCCCCACCCTGTTCTCAGGACACGTCCGGTCCGTGTCCCCTCCACCCTGTTCTCAGGACACGTCCCCACCTCGGGTGAGGACGGGGCCCTGTCCTGGTCCCGCTGGGCCTCGGGGTGTGTCTCCAGCTCCAGTTCTGTCCAAGGACCCTCCCCGTCCTCCTGGGCCTGGGGACAGCACCCCTCCCCTGGGCCAGCGGGCCACCCCCGCCCCCGCCGGGACACCCCGGGAACGTTTCGCTGTGGCCAGAGGGGAAGGCGCGGCAGATTGTGACGTGGAGGCTCATTTCCGTCCCGTGCACGGCCGCGCTGGTGAGAGGGCCGGCGGCATCGGTTCTCACAGGCGATTCCTGCCCGGGGCCCCCACCGGAGGGTTGGGTGTTGAAGAGCGACACGATCCAGCAACACCCGCCAGGGCGCAGTGAGGACTTCACTCGGGGACTGAGGGTGGCAGGGTCTGGGGGCAGGGAGAGGGGCCGGCCGAGCCGCCGTCCGCACTGGTACAAGGGACGCCAGAGGCCGCGGCTCGTGCAGAGGGAGGGTCTCGGGCTCGCGGTTCTGCAGGCGTGCGAGAAGCGTGGGGCTGGCGTCGTGCCTCCCGGGGCTCCCAGCCGCCGCCACTCAGGGCAGAGGGCAAAGGGTGGTGGCCGGTGCGGAGATGACAGGCAAGGGCGGGCGTGAGCGGGCACAGGGCGGCCGGGCTCTGACCCAGCTCCGCAGCAGCCGGGAGGGGGACCCGCCCCACCAGGCCCCCCTCCAGCACGGGGGTCGAGCTTCAGCACCGGGTTTGCAGGGGGGAACATCCGGCCCGAAGCGGCTCAACTCCTAGCACTGCCAGGGCCGGCAGAACCCACAGCGGGGAGCAGGTGGGGCCGGGCGGGACGTCACCGGGAGGGACGTCAGGGCCACAGGGTTCTGGCCCCGCCCCCCATCTGGACCCCCGAAGGCAGGCGGGGGCCGGACACCACCTGGGGGGGCGCGTGAGGAACCTGACCAGACGCGAGGACCGGACTTGACAGGCTCTTCCCTAAAACTGGGTGTCACGAGCACGTGCACAGACCGGCCTGGGAGAAGTTTCCGGAAGACCGAGGTTCCGCCAAGCAGGGGATCTCCGCCAGTCTCCAGGACAGAAGAGACATCCTCTCCCCTGTGAACAGTCTGCGTCTCGCTCGGTGGCCTGTGCCGGGACGTGGCGGTGGAGCGTGGCCTGCTGGGGTCTGCGAGCCCCGTTGCACGGCCCCCGTGGCGACGGGGCTTTGGTTTCTATGGAAATAAAGAGCAGCGAAGGCCAACCGTGGGGGTGGACCGTGAGCAGCTCCGAGCCCGGGGCAGCTGGTCCGAGTGCAGGCGGCGGCCTCGCTTCAGGTGGGCGTGACCTGGTGGTTCCCCGTGTGCGGTCCAGGTGTGGCGCGGGCAGTCCACGCGCCAGCTGTTGCCGCGGCTTCTCGCGAGACCGCATCGCGTCCTCCGGCCCCCGCCCACGGGGCTCAGGAAAGGAGCGAGGATCCCAGGTTGGAAGGTGGAAGGGAAACGGAAATTCTGTTCTGGGGAGCATAGCCGGCTGTCGAGGGAACTAGAAGAATTCAAGATCCAGTCCCGATCGCAGGCAGACACTGAGACCTCGACCAAGCAGAACGGGGCTGAATCTAATACCGGGTGCACCGCAGTTTTCTTCAAAAACATGTTTTCAGCCGGGCGCGGTGGCTCACGTCTGTAATCCTAGCTCTCTGGGAGGCCGAGGCAGGCGGATTGCTCAAGGTCAGGAGTTCGAGACCAGCCTGAGCAAGAGTGAGACCCCGTCTCTACCAAAAATATAAAGAAATTAATTGGCCAACTAATATATATAGAAAAAATTAGCCGGGCATGGTGGCGCATGCCTGTAGTCCCAGCTACCTGAGAGGCTGAGGCAGGAGGACCCCTTGAGCCCAGGAGTTTGAGGTTGCTGTGAGCTAGGCTGACGCCACGGCACTCACTCTAGCCTGGGCAACAAAGCGAGACTCTGTCTTAAAAAAAAATACATATTTTCTTCCCAGAGTGACCCCCATTTCTACCACAGACGATCAAAGTTAGACTGACGTGTTGCAAAATTAGTTTAATCTCGTAAGCATGGCTCGGTTATTCGCAGACATGTGGCGAGAACAAGGACTGAGCGTCCACACTCCTCACGCTCCCACTGCAGGAACTTTGGGTCTGGAGTCTCAGATCCAACCTCCGGGGGCCGAGGAGGTTGTGGTCCCCACACCTGTCCTGGGAGCTTGAGGCTGGTATCCCCGCACACACCTGCCCCAGGAGCTTGAGGCTGTGGTCCCCCCACCTGCCCAAGGAGCAGGAGGCTGTGGTCCCCACACCTGCCCCAGGAGCTCGAGGCTGTGGTCCCCACACCTGCCCAAGGAGCAGGAGGCTGTGGTCCCCACACCTGCCCAAGGAGCAGGAGGCTGTGGTCCCCACACCTGCCCAAAGCTCGAGGCTGTGGTCCCCACACCTGCCTGAGGAGCAGAAGGCTGTGGTCCCCACACCTGCCTGGGAGCTCAAGGCTGTGGTCCCCCCACCTGCCCAAGGAGCAGGAGGCTGTGGTCCCCACACCTGCCTGGGAGCTCAAGGCTGTGGTCCCCACACCTGCCCCAGGAGCAGGAGGCTGTGGTCCCCACACCTGCCCCAGGAGCAGGAGGCTGTGGTCCCAACACCTGCCCAAAGAGCAGGAGGCTGTGGTCCCCACACCTGCCCGAGGAGCAGGAGGCTGTGGTCCCCACACCTGCCCAAGGAGCAGGAGGCTGTGGTCCCCACACCTGTCCTGGGAGCTTGAGGCTGGTATCCCCGCACACACCTGCCCCAGGAGCTCAAGGCTGTGGTCCCCACACCTGCCCAAAGAGCAAGAGGCTGTGGTCCCCCACACCTGCCCAAGGAGCAGGAGGCTGTGGTCCCCACACCTGCCCAAGGAGCAGGAGGCTGTGGTCCCCACACCTGTCCTGGGAGCTTGAGGCTGGTATCCCCGCACACACCTGCCCCAGGAGCTCAAGGCTGTGGTCCCCACACCTGCCCAAAGAGCAAGAGGCTGTGGTCCCCCACACCTGCCCAAGGAGCAGGAGGCTGTGGTCCCCACACCTGCCCAAGGAGCAGGAGGCTGTGGTCCTCACACCTGCCCAAGGAGCAGGAGGCTGTGGTCCCCACACCTGCCTGGGAGCTCGAGGCTGTGGTCCCCACACCTGCCTGAGGAGCAGAAGGCTGTGGTCCCCCACACCTGCCCAAGGAGCAGCAGGCTGTGGTCCCCACACCTGCCTGGGAGCTCGAGGCTGTGGTCTCCACACCTGCCTGGGAGCAGGAGGCTGTGGTCCCCACACCTGCCTGGGAGCTCGAGGCTGTGGTCCCCACACCTGCCTGAGGAGCAGAAGGCTGTGGTCCCCCACACCTGCCCAAGGAGCAGCAGGCTGTGGCCCCCACACCTGCCTGGGAGCTCGAGGCTGTGGTCCCCACACCTGCCCGGGAGCAGGAGGGTGCGGGCCCACTGCGCCTGCTGCTGGGTGGCAGGAAGACAGCTGCCTGGGAAGCACCTGAGCAAGGGCTGCAGGTCAAAGTCTCTCCCCAAACCCGGAAAGGTCAAATCGGCAGCCACTGTGGCCGGTGGGGGCGGTTCCTACGGAGACGGGAGACTGAGATTGACGCTGTGGGAGTGTTGACGGGGGCCGTGTGAAACGACAGGACGGCCCAGGGAGCTCTTTTTTCCGTACGCATCTACGGTCATACTTTCTAGATTTGCACCCCCGTGTCCCTTCCTCCTCCCGGCTTCTCCCGCTCCTGCTTTTAGGCGCCTGCTCGAGACCCCCCAGCGCCCTCGCGGGAACGGCGGCCGTCTTGTGTGTGCTCCGTGCTTTGTGCTTTGCTAATCAAGTAGAACGCTAATAAAAAAAAACCTTCCTAATTAGCGGGATAGACATTAATTCAAAGATGTTTATTGGAACAGAAAATTAGAATTTGATTACACCTTTGTTCCCGAACAGTGGCTGGTTTTCATTTTATTTGGTGTTTGTTTAGAATCCGGGCTGAGCCGTTTCTGCTGCTCCGCGAGTTAGAGCAGATGGTTTAGGTGATTTGGTTTCTGCAGCCGAGTGCGGGCGATGCTTTGAGCACGGCGGGTTTTCCTGGACACGGGGGTTTCTCCACGGCGCCGTCTTCTCCCTTCCCCCCGCCCCCCGGGTGCCCAGGGTCTCGGCAGGGGCGTTTGGCTGGCTCAGTGGGGCCAGGAGGGACGTCTGTCCTGCAGGGGCACGCTCCACACGGGAGGGCCACGCACCATGGAGCAGGCCACGGCGTCCTGTCCACGGCACCCCCCCAACCTCATGCTGCCACGGAGCTTTCTGGTGCCGGAAGTGCGTGCACGCTCACCCCACCTGGCCCAGCGCTGTGG